TAGAGTTGAGTTGAAAAACCGTACTCGCTTTGACAAGAGCTGCAAGCGATAGGAACAGCGCGGCCTTCATGATGTGCGGCGCGCAGACTTCGTGGGGCAATGCTCATGAGGCAACCTGCCAGCTTTATACCCATGCATCTTCGGCTCGGTATCGTGTTTTCTGGAACGCAAAGTGCGTATGTCCGTTACATGTCTATCGCGTCCTGACGGCGGGTGCAGAAGTGGGAGAGATGGAGGTTAGCGCGTCGATGATAATGCAGGCAAGACACTTGGCATGACGTCACGCGTGAGGAACGAGTCAGAATAGGCATCGTAGAGATAACGGTCAAGCAACATCCGCTAATTCACTGACAAATTGCCCGCCTGTAATGATAACACTTGCAGGATACTAAGGGTCGTTGTCTAGCTCACAGCGAGTTCAGAACGAAGACTATTGGAGACGTGTCTACGGATGAACGATTGGCATAAAGGACCATCAGTTCGCAGTATCCTCTTAGCCTCTTGAGCGCTCCACGTCGGCTTAGGAAAAAGATAAACACCCTAGAGTCTACATTAAGGTTAGGTTACCTACTTTGCATATTTTAATCTTGATGTAATTTGCAGACCTGGTCGGTTTGTTTCTTGCATGCAGTGACTCAACAGAAATAGTGGCCGTCGCGTCATAAGCATCAGATTAGGGATTGGAAGAGATTTGTATGGGTTTCAGAACAACGGTGAGGCACAGTCTCCTGAAGCGTAGACCTGCACCGGAACACGAGAAGCGACGGGAGTAATCGCTGTCCATGATGGGAAGGTGAACAGTTTGGGGCCCTAGAGACAATGGTGGAGTTTTCGAGGCCAGATTCGTGAAAATCAGGAAGGGCAACGCAGGCTTAGTAATGCACATGCTCATCAAGAACGGACACAAGTCTTTGTAATGCAGCTGCCTGAGATCTCCGCAGCCATATCGATGCTGCCTAGTAACGAAACGCCTACGCTATGCTTCTAGCAATGGACTAATGACGTGCGAAGTGTCTTCCGAAGACGACTGGAACTGAAGAACAAAAAGAACGATCGCAGAAGAGGACCCATTGCGTGGATCTATTGCGTCCCGCTGTAAGCAAAGAGCGACCAACTGCCTGGCAAACCCCTAGCAGTTTCGCTAGAATGCTCTGGGTCTCTTTTGTGTGGCACGACTTGGAACCGGAGACGCACTTGGTCGTTTCCTTTGTACCAACGCGTCTTCTTCGAGCTCTTCTTCAGTCGTATGTTGCCCGTTGAACTCGCAACCGGGATCGTCAATGTCTGCCTGACAGCAGTCCCATTTTATTGACCCGCCCGGTGGCCTGTACCTCTTCCCAGAATGAGAAACGCAGGGCGCATTCACGTCCACTATCTGTTCGTGACACACTGTGCAGGTCTTTATCAAAGGCGCAGGCTGTTTGTTGATGCTCGCTGACCGTGGCGTGTCTCTGGCCAACAGCCTTGGAGTTTGGTTGACAGAGGATGATTGGCCTGAGGGTTTCCGGACTGGCGTGCGTAACGTGGTTGAGCGTGGATAGGCTCCGGGAAGGTGCATGTCGCCGTCTGAACTTGACTGTGAGCGCTCACGTGGCTCCCGCTTCACTCGTGATGCGAACTCAGAACCATGAGGCCGTGATGTAGCTCGACTTCCGCTGATCTCGTGGGATTGTGCAGGCAAGCTGTTGTGACTTGGGGTCGGAACTGTAGGCTTCACGAGGTTTCTTTTCGCCGCCTCATAGAGTTCGTCGCTATCATCCTCATCTTGAATCTTGACCTTGGACTGATGCGACTGCATCCGTTGCTGGCTGATCAGGCTCTGGGCGGATGCAGAGTGAGGCGCAAGTCCACGGACAAGGGCGCCGGAAAAGGCCGGTGACATTTGGCAAAGGTCGAGCAGCACCTTTTGCACAGCGCGCGGGTCGGCTGTCTCGATGATCTGTTTGATATGCTCAGGGTGGATAGGGCGCGCCTGCTGTGGCCCTACAGGGTTTCGCGCGGAAGCCATCGGATGCTTAGCTTCCATCCCGACATTTGCCATACCGTAGGGGCGTGGCTCGGGCTTGAGGTACATTTGAACTAGTCTTTGGGGCGGCCTTGGCTGTGGCCGCTGTTGTGGTCGTTGCTGGGGCATGTCTTCCGGCTCTGGTGAGGAACCTGTGAGGTCGATTGTTTGGCAGCTATTGCCAGTTGTGTGTGATGGAGCCATTGCGAGGGAAAGAATGACCAGATACTGATAACCAAGAGCACCCAAAGTGAATAATTGATGTCAAAGCGCGGTCTGCGGAAGATTGGTCTCAGCGTCGCACAATGAATGAATTGCTGGGCTTGGAACGTGTGGATCCCGGGCCTCTTAGCGCGACACCAGCTCACGTGATCAACGCACGGCCCTGCGCAGGATCCTTCCCCACAAACCTCGACCTGCAAGAAGGAGGCGCGTCCGTAGTGCCCAACAACGCGTCAGCTTCAACACCATCAGTAATGCGATGCGCACGCGGCATCACTTCGGACCTCAATACTGCCTCCGTCAGCCCTCTGTAACACGCTACAATCAACCCAAATCAACGCACGGACGGCAACAAGATTCCCACCAACCGGCGCAATGCACATGCGCAGTCGTTGCGCGATGAGAGATTCACCGTCTGGGGTGCATACATCAATTTTCCGATGGCTTGCATCGCCCGTTTCGACAGCTTTCATAGCGGGGAAACGACCCCGTAGCTCACTAAGCGGCTGTTCGGAGGTCTAGGTCAGACCCGGGGAGTCCGCCAATATAGTTTGCTTAGCCGGCATGCTGAAGTTATTATATGTATATGCATACTGCGCGCCTTCAGGCTAAGTTCTGCATTCACTCACTCTTATACTTTCATTTTCAACTGTCCTACTTTGTCCACAATGCTCCCATCAATCGCTTTCGTGCTCACCCTCGCGGCATCCGCTGTCGCAGCTCCAACGACGCTGGCGCCTCGGGCTGGACGTACAAGTCCTCCTTCTGGATGTCTGGCTGTGGGTGGTAGCGGAAAGTACAAAACGGTTCAGTCCGCCGTTGATGCTTTGAGCGCTTCCAGCACGGCTGCACAATGCATTTTCATCGCGAAGGGTTAGTTCTGGATGTACCAACTCCATGTGAGACATGTACTGACTTGGTGCCCCCGTTTCTGCAGGCACATACAAGGAGCAAGTTTACATCAAGCCGCTCAAGTCGGCCCTGACGGTGTACGGCGAAACGACAGACACTAGCAGCTACACCGGCAACACCGTGACCATCACCCAGGGCAAAAGTCAAGATGACGCCCCCAACAACGACGAAACTGCTACTCTCCGCGCCTGGACACCAAACCTAAAGGTCTACAACATCAACCTGGTCAACACACGCGGACAGGGCTCGCAAGCTCTCGCCCTTAGTGCTTATGCTGATAAGCAAGGCTACTACGGATGCCAGTTCAAGGGTTACCAAGACACCATCCTCGCCCAGCAGGGTAGCCAGGTCTATGCCAAATCCTACATCGAAGGAGCGACTGATTTCATCTTCGGCCAGAAGGCCATAGCATGGTTTGATGGTTGCTCTCTGGGCGTTCTCACAGCGTCGGTGGGTTACATTACTGCCAACGGTCGCGATTCAGATTCCAATCCCTCATACTATGTCATCAACAACTCGAAGATCGCCGCTGCTCCCGGTAACACGGTGAGCGCGGGTGCTTACTACCTCGGCCGTCCTTGGAGGAATTTCTCTCGTGTTGTGTTCCAGAAGACTAGCATGACTAATGTCATCAATGCCGCGGGATGGAAAGTTTGGAATACCGATGACCCCAGGACTGACAAGGTCACATATGCCGAGTACGCAAACACCGGTGATGGATCCAAGGGTACCAGGGCGTCCTTCTCAAAGAAGCTCTCGGCTGCCGTTAGCCCTTCCACTGTTCTGGGCAGCGACTACAAGAGCTGGGTTGATGCAGCTTACCTTTCCTAGGCCAACATCTTGTAGAAAGATGCTGGCTAAGTTCGGTAGTACGTGAGAGTTGGTTTTCTTGTACATATATTAGGAACACTAAGTGTCTTCGTTTTGATTCACACATTCACTTGCAACTGCACTTGCTTAACAAAAAGATTAAAAATATGTCGGCAATATTGTGATCAGTATTACATTCGCAGTCTTGTGGCATGCGTGAGAAGATTCTAGCTGAAGTAAGCAAGGCTAGACACGGGCTACCGCCGAATGAGAGACCCACTAGTGGGTCACCGGACCATGGGTTTTTGCTCCGCATTGCTACGGCTTCTGCCCTTCCACTTCAACTTTGCAATCGCAAACATTTCAACAAAAGGTTCGAGATGTCTTATGGCACCATAGCCGACCCACCGCCGTCCGCAGGGCGCTCAAGGGTAAACTTCCTGCCACGCCTGCCATCTGCAGTTTCAGGCTCTGCGCACGATACGGACGAGGAAGCCAATCCGCCAGGAATATGGAGCAAAATATCGCAGAGTCTGAAGTCATTCTACAGGCGGAATTTCGGGTTATTCTTAGTTTTCTTGGCACAGACATGCGGTTCTGTCGTAAGTTTTATTTCTTGTGTGCAATGACTGCATGCCGCAGACCATGCCACTTACAAATGAGCAATAGATGAACACAGCAGCCAAACTGCTCGCGAATGACCCATCCATCGAATTTCACGCTTTGCAAATCATCTTCATCCGCATGCTGTGCACGACGATCATCTGCTCGATTTACTCTTGGTACCACGCGGTGCCTGACTTTCCTTTTGGCCAGAAAGGCATCAAAGGGCTGCTTATACTGAGAGGTACCGCAGGATTTGTCGGTCTATTTGGACTGTATTGTAAGTTTAACTCCCTCTACGACTCCTCCCGGTTCACTCCATATAAGATTGCGACCTGCATGGGTGGGTCATGATAGTGAACAGGACTATAGCTAACAATACCGCCTAGACTCTTTATCATGGCTGGAATTCTCCGACGCAACAGTAATAACTTTCCTAATCCCAACTATGACAGCCATTGTATGCTTCATCTGGCTACGCGAGCCTTTCACGTGGAAAGAAGCACTTTGCAGCTTCGTCGCATTCTGCGGCGTTCTCTTCGTCGCGAGACCACCATGGCTATTTCCCGCTTCGCACTCAAGGCCACTAGCCGATGGCTCGGACGGGCATGCACCATTACCATCAACTACCGCTGAACAACGCGCTCTGGCAATCCTCATTGCAATTCTAGGCACGCTTGGTGCTTCGACAGCCTACGCAACCATCCGAGTGATCGGCAAGCGTGCCCACTCGCTCATCTCGGTGAATTACTTTTCTCTCATCGCAACGATCGCCTCTTTCGTGCTCATCCTGGTTCACCCTTCGTTACATTTCGTCATGCCCAAAACGCTCGGTCAGTGGGGATTGATCGCCATTATTGGGCTCTTCGGGTTTCTGTTGCAATTTCTCTTGACGGAAGGCCTGCAGAGGGAGAAAGGTGGAAGAGCAACAAACTTGACGTATCTGCAACTTGTCTTCGCGCTTGTTGTCGAGAAGGTGATCTGGGGAACTACGCCGCCTGCTGAGAGCTTGGTGGGAGCCGTGCTTATCATCGGAGCGGCGATTGCGGTCAGTCTGCAGAGGTCGGGTGGGAAGGATGATAAGAAAGCTGAAGTTATCGAAGAAGAGAGGAGGCTGTTGGAGGATGAGAATTGAGCTAGAGGATACTGGGTATATGCGAGTGTATTATTATCATGTACATGCATTTGCATGACATGACCTAGATTCTGCTTCCATGCTTCACAACACTAGAACTGGCCTGCTATTGGGTTTTCACCACCCGACTGTATTGGGCTTCATTGCCGACCGACGCTGGAAAGTAGTCTTGTGGCTGATGCAGCACCTGTTCTTACACCGATGATGACGATAAGGGCAGAACCACTCGCATGGTGCGTTATGTTGCAGTAGATATGATCTGATGATAGACCACTCTATTGGCAACACTGGTGCCACGACAGACACAGATCCGCAGCAGCCTGATCAGCGTCGCCGCTGTACCTATACCATGCGTCAGCTCCTACTGACCGGCTCATGACTCATTGCGCTAGATCATACTTTGCACGCAATGCCGAGTTTAAACCGCATCACCCTCATCTCTCGAATTGACATCACTGCTCGCTCTTTCTTCGTCTGTTCCTTGTCTCACAATGCGCTCTTCGCTTCCATTCATGCTCATGTCTATGTTGTCGATCTCATGCACAGTTCTCCTTTTGCCCTTCCTCTCAACATGCGACAAACGAAGGCTGTCTGGCAAATTCTGGCCCGAATTGTCGTTTGATGGCTTGATCGATGACATAGCTTTCCTGGCTTTACTGAGAAAGGGCTTGAGGATAGGTGCGTTGACAGCTAAGATTCCGACAAACTGTGGCAAACATTAGCAAGGTCCTAGTGGCCTTAAAATTTGAGAGGCTCACTGTTTCGCGGATTGACCAAATGGTGCCAACGTTGATCTGGGAAACGTCTTGAAGACACAGGATGCAGCGGAGCAATGTTGCTGTCATCATGAAAACACCGGTGCATAACCAGACTCCGTACAGAAGCTTCCTTCTTAAAGGTAGTCGGACGTTCCAGAGTAGAGGTAGCGGAATATACAAGATCATGAGATCGGTGCTGGATGATTGTAAGTATGGTACAGAAGTGGACAGGCTCATTTTTAGGGCTACCCACGTTACATTTGTAACGACCAACGCCAGATATTTGGATATGTTGAGCGCGCAGTCATCACCCGGATATGGATATATTTGCCAGAGTCGATAGATAGGGTGACAGTGTGTGAGAAACACGATGATAGTAGCGATGTAAGCTACAAGGCAGACTGCCCCAGTAATCTTGACGAGATTATGTTGCTGGAGATTGAGCCTATTGCTATCAGCGGGGATCAATCTAAATTTGTAAAGTATACATACGTGAGCCTCCTGTAAAAGAACAGCATACAAGCTTTTACTGTGGTAACAGCCTATTAGTACGACCACATGGCCTCGAGTGCTCCGTTACCAAAGCATTTACGTACAGCACCATATCAGGGTTGTATATAGCATCCACCCTGCGAGAAGGTATTTACTACCCACAGTAACACGTTGGCTTTCCTCAGGTGTAAGTTGCAACGCGAGTTCGTTACTCATTCCAGTGATGGAGCCATTCTGGCCGATGAGCTCCAGCATGACAAGTTCAGCGGTGAAGAAGAAGGCGCAGAGTACGGCGAAGTAATCATCTCCATCCCAACGTAGTTGGATCTGCCAGCAGCGCGCTGTAATTCGAAGTATTATAACGACAATACCAATTGCGTATTCGGTCCATGCTTCAGTCGTGAAGGGATTAGACATGCTGGCGAAACAAGCATCGACAGTTGAGGGCCCTCTCGCGCGAGATCAGGGTACGCCGAGCAGCAAGGCCCTTAACATTGAGTATCATTGTAAAAAGGAATGCCCGAAAAACGAAAGCTATACGATACACGACGAGAGTGGAGGCTTTCAATCGGGCGCAGGTGACCCATGACGGTGCAAAGCGATTGGTGTGGGTGCCTTTTCGGATGAGAAACCCACCGGGCGCAATAAGTAGCCGCAGTTCCTCGAATGATCATCCTTGTGGTAGTTTGGCGATCTCGGGGTGCTGGCTACCAAGATCGCTGTGAAGATCTCACGGCCCGATTCCTATCGCAACGTCGCGCAATTGGTTGTTGAATTGCTTTTTGACATTTTACGATCTTGTCCGAAGGTAATAAGATATAGTTGGACACGAGACTGGAAAAGAGCCTGGCTGACATACAGCCTTCAGCCGTACCTGGCGGTCCATGCCTTAGCGGCGCGCGGCACACGCAGATAGGGTTGTCAAATGTGGATCTTGAACTCATACCCAGCTTCGCAAATTCCAAGATGAGAGTGCTGCAGAAGCGCATATGCGCAAATACTACGTCACTGTCAGTACAGTGGCTTCTCTAGGCACAAAAGAAAACCGATGCCGGGAGCACATCCAGACTCCAGGTCTAAGGCCTAGCGCGAGATCCGACCCTTGTCCAGTGCCCCACCTAGACACATGTGAACCGAGGCCCTTGCTGCACAGCGTCCCGTGCCGTTGTACGGGACTGCGAGGAGCGGGCAGCAAGACTTGCCCTTAGCTGAGACTCGATAGACGGTGCCCTGTGGCTTCTCCTCTCATAACACAGCGCCCAGGCACGAGGAGTGCGACGGATCTTTTCCCCACAGATCCGATATAACTTCTCGAATAAGTCTTGAAGATGCCAGAGGACGCAATTCCAGAGCACCATCGCAGGGAGAGAACATGCCCAGTTAGCACGCCGTCCAACTACATTCCGCCGTTCCCTGGATATTGCTCCAGATTCCAGGCTACAATGGATGATCTCGTCATGGCCATGATGGGAGCGCAGTACGACTCTGTTACCGGGAACGACGGCATAGCCGTTACCAAACTTCAGGAGTTCGTGAGTAGAGGGCCACAGTCAAAGCGCCCGTCGTTTTGGGAAACAACCTCCGTAATCGACAAGAGAGGGGCCTATACCATCGCTGTGATTGCATATTGGCGCAGCGCAGACTTGCACAGCAGCTGGCAGCAGGAATCTGGGTTCGATACTTGGTGGCAGAGTTCAGACAGGGAAAAAGATGGGCATGGGTGGTTCCAGGAGATTCTGTGTCCAACGATGGATCGTTTTGAAACAGTATTTTCAAACCCTGAGAATCCAGAAGGAGCGGCCAACATGCAAGAGAGGATCTCAGGCGAGTTGGAACAACACGCGTATTGGGGTAGCATGCGGGATCGCTTAGCAGCTGCTCAAGACAACAAACTCGAGGGCGATAGATGGTGCTCTAAGGATGGCACCGCGAATGGCTCGAGTGATGATGCAGATTCTTCAAAACGTGTCCGTATATCCGGCAGGCCCAATCTGTGCGTGATTCGATCAGGCCAGGATTGGTCCGACACGCTACCAGGAGAGCGCAAACTCTACCTCGATACAATGCATCCGGTGCTCGTCGAGGGGATGGAGTTTCTACGTGATGAAGGGCGCGAGGTTGGATGTTATGCGATGAACTTGTGGGATGTTGTGGATTCAAACTCGTTCGAGGCGAACAGTGAAAGAACGTTCGGTTTGGGCTATTTCGATGACCTGGCGTCGCTTGAATACTGGAGTAAAAGCCACCAGACGCATATCAACATCTTCGGAGGCTTCCTGATGTATGCGAAAAAGCTGAACAATGTATTGTCTCTCCGGCTATTCCATGAGGTTTACGTGCTGGAGCCGGACCAGCAATTCTTCGAGTACATTGGGTGCCACGCCGAGACGGGGATGATGAATGCGCGCCGATCTTGAAACCTGTAGATAGATTGTTCGAAACGATACTATCATTGATAACCTGTGGTCAGCCTTGCAATTGAGGATCGTGAGTATTGAATGAAAGTTGCCATCGCGATTTTGGTACTGAGAGTGAAAGGTTCCCTAGAGATGAAATCCGATAGGGCGTAGCGCTGTTGCCTTATCGCCTTATCGGCGTCGTGACGCGACTTGGTACGCGTCAAGCCTCACTGATATCCATCAACCGAAGGCTACGCACAACGACCCTATCAGCAATACCATCTACAGCAAAAAGGAAAAGCGTCTCATGTGGCGTGGGCAGTTCTGGACGACCGGGACCAGTGAAATGGTGACGCGAACAAGCGATCACGCGGGAACGTACCCCGCGAAACATGATAAGCGGCACGGAGCTTACGCGGGGATATGGCGACGCCATCACTCCCTGGAGGCTGCCTGGCCTTCCATCGCCTTTAGCTGTTCTCGATCTTCTCTTCAATCCACACGCTCTTCACAGCATTGCTCTCGTCCCTTGAGTGCGCCACTGCTCCCAGCGCCATTTGCCGGCTATTGATGTAACCACTATCCGTTCACCTAGGCTCAGCTCCGAGGAGCTGTCGGTGCCTTGGACAGCAGACCTGCGATAGGTATCACGGTATGTTGTACTTGCAATCGTGTAATCCTCCATCTCTGACAAGCCACAGAGCTAAGACTCTCAGTCTACCTCCTGCATCCCTTCTCCCTCCGATCCCCCTGACGGCTTCCATCATGACTTGGTGGCGCCGGGACCCGACACTCGCTCCTTTCCAACGCTATGTGCAACGCATCCTCCGCTCCGACGACGCGGCCCTTCGCACGCGGTGCTTCTCGCGCACGCCCTCCAAGTCAGCACAACACGAAGACAACAATGGCAACAAACGTCCATCCGGCATGTCCAACCTGGAATGGTTGCAGCTAGAGCAGTACCAGCAATGGCGAAGGAAACTCATGAATGATCCATACGAGGCCATCTTCGGGGCCAGCAACGAGAGGTTGAGTGGCAAGGGCAACAAAGACTGGGAATGGCTTGCCAATAGCATTCCTAAGTGGATGTTGAGAGAGATGGAGAGCCACGACGATAACGCTTCGCCACCGAAGCAAGGCAAGAGTGGCAGTGCCGGTCCGAAATACCCGCGACGGGTCAAGATCGATAGTGAAGAGCGCGATATCCTTAGGGAAAGAGAATCACACTTCCCTCAACCGTCATCCAGGGCAAGACTGCTCCCTGACGACCCGACTGGCATTGAGTCACCCTCTGATCTCAGGAGGCCGCGAGAGCAATCTCATGTCAAGATTGTTGGCCGTCATTCAGGAT